TACCCTTAAGTCTATTGTTGATATGTATTACATAGAAAAATGATATACATATTTCTTTTTTTGTTGCTATCTCTATTTTGGTAGTTATCATTATTGACGTTTTTTCTTTTTGATCAGTTTCATTCACATTTATAGTATTGTTTCATTGTGCTAGTGTTTCGAAACTCTCTATTTGGTAGGGTTTAAAGACTCTAGTTTATATATGGTGGGGAAATAATATTATATTCCTCCATTGTTGGTGAAGTTTTGTATTCGTCCATTGTCGCTTTGTGTTCTAAGTTTTGTATTTGTCCATTGTTGCTCCGTGTTCAAAACTCTATGTTTCTCCATTGTTGTAAGTCGAAACTCTGTTTATGTCCAGTCAATTTTATTACAAATATATTCTTTAAAGGTGGGTTTGGCTTGATTTAGATTAATAGAATGGTAAAATTGCATAGATTGTTAATGATAGTGATAATGATAAAGATGATGACGAAGATGAGGATGTGGGTTTTTTTTTTTTTTTTTTCTTATAGAATGATTGAGTTTTTTTTGGATTTCTAATTCTATTGCTGCCATTGTTTCTATTTTTTTGTCAATCAGTATGAATGTTCACATTTCACATTGTTTGAAAGTTTGAGAAATAAGTGTTGGAATATAGATATGGACATAATTATATATTTTGCAAGATGTGAATGTTCACATATCATTGGTTATTTGTTATTATACTTGTTGTTTAAACAATCATTTTTTGATACCATTAAACAATTAAAATAGTCATTTTTTTCCTTTCAATTTTGTTTCATGTTGCAGTGTGAATGTTCACATTGATATAAATTTAGTTTTTCTAAGGTTAGTTGTATGTTAATTGTAAATTTTGAACATTCACATTATATTTTGGTATGAGTATTTTTTTTTTTTTGAAATTTTTTCGAAAATTAGTTGTATTTTTTTTTTTTTACTATGCTTGTTGCCTGAACAATCATTTTTGTTACCATTGAACAATTGAAATAGTCGATTTCCACTTTTTTCAATTTTATTGTGTTTTCACATTGGTATGAGTTTTTTATTTTTATTTTTTATTTTAAACTAATTGTATATTAATTGTAAATTGTGAACATTCACATTGTATTTTAGTATATAAGTTTTTTTTTTTTTCGAAAGTTAATTGTATGTTTGTTGTTTTTGTTACTATGCTTGTTAGTTGAACAATCATTTTTGTTACCATTGAATAACTGAAGTAGTCGATTTTCACTTTTTTCAATTTTGTTTTATGTTTTCACATTGCAGTGTAAATGTTTACATTGTTATGAGTTATTTTTTTAAAGCTAGTTGTATGTTAATTATAAATTATGAAAATTCACATTGTATTTTGGTATGAATTTTATTTTTTTGAATGTTAGTTATATGTTTGATGTTTATTGTGAACATTCATATTGTAGTTTGGTATTATTTTTTCAAAAGTTAATTGGATGTTTGTTGTTTCTTGTAAACATTCACATTACATTTTGATTTTTATTTAGATTTTTTGTTGCGTTATTTTTAAAATTTTCAAATTATAAAAAGGTCCAAAATTCATAATTTGAGATTTTCTCTATGGAATGCGGGAGACATTTTTTCTTTAGAATAAATGAGAGATTTTCTTCACGGAATAAGAGGAAAAAAAAATTCTCTTTAGAATAAAAGAGAGTTTTTTTTTTTTTCATAAAATGAGGGATTATTGTTATGTATTAGTTTTAAAATAGCAACATGTACAAAAAATTAGAAACATGACATATTACATTAAACAAGACTTAGGCCTCGTTTGGGAACATGCTAATTTAGTAACTTTTTAGCTATTTGGCTAAAATATGTGCTAAAGAAACTAGTATATTTGGGATAACTTTTTGGCTTTTTACGAAAAGATTGTGCAAAAAGTAGAGAGAAAAAAGAATCTTTGACTTTTTGGTATGGGTTGTTGGCTTTTTGACTTTTTTAGTAACTTTTTGATTTTTTAGCTAAACCGGCCTGTTGCCAAACGAGGCATTAATGTAATATTCAAAAACAATATAAGTTAAATGAAATAAAACACTTAAAAGAGAATTTATCAAAAATAAAATAAAATAACCCTCGATTTAAACCAGTTGACCAGATCCCAAAAAAACCCATGTATCAAGCAAATAAACTCCTTTTTAAACACTTTACATATTTAAGTCATAGGTTTCAATTTCAAGCTTGTGTTATTATTATTATTATTATTTTTTTTCATCTTTTCTTGTCACTGGGTGTGGGTGTGAAGTACAAATTGAAGCCAAAAAAGAAAGAAAGAAACAGAGATAGGCATTAGGCGCTTACTTGGGGGAGAAATTGCGGAAGGAAGAGGAAAAAGAGATTGATCTGAAGCAAGCCGAATCCGATGAATAATGAAGTCCCACAAATGGATGTCTCAAAGCAATGCTTGGTGAGCCCTGCAGCAGGAAACAACTTGCCAATGCCATTTAGAGTAGGAGACAAAAAACGACGAGGTGGATTCTGCAAGGAGTTGGTGAGAGAAAAAAGAGATATAGAGAGATTGCCAGTTGTGCAGGCGCGGTTGTTGGAGTATTTAGGAGTATTTAGAATTGGGCTGAGGCCGGCTTGTCCTCAGTCTATCCGAATTGTTGATATCGTAAAATTTGCGAAATAAATTGTTCATATAATAAATCAAATACATTAGACTGGGTCAATGGGAAATGAAGGGGAAACTCATGTTGGAAATCAGGAGGATGCCAATGGCAGTTTTAGTAAACCCAACACACCATTCACACACACACAGTTTACAGAGAGAGAGCTCACTTAACTTTCTTTTTCTTTTTTTATTATTTTACTCCATCTTTTGAAAACCCACTTAACTTTCTTTTTCTTTTTTTTTATTATTTTACTCCATCTTTGTGCCCTTCTTTAAGTTATGACTATATGTATGTCTCATAAACCAACTTATCTCAATTCTATTTTTTTTTTATTCATATAACTAATAAATAAATTTTTCAAAAGGGTTAATTATTATATAATTTAATATTTTAAAAATGACAAGACATTATGCAATGGGTATGTTTGGAAAAATTTTAAACAATTGTGGTGGCTTAATAATTATATAATTTTAAAAATAAAAATACATATAAAAAAAATGACAAAAGGCATTATTTGATAGGCATATGACCTATCTATCTATACTATCTATCCGGGGGTGGCCCGACGCTTTTATTTATTCTTGTAACTAAGTAAGGTTTATTGATATTAAATATTTATAATTTTATATCATATTCATTTAAATTTTTTATTGTATCTTTTTTTGTGTTTGTAACAATTTTTCTTCAATTCTTTTCAAATGTGGATTAATTTTCTACTTTCTTTTTTGGAATACCCATATTCAAATTGTCTATTAGACATATTTTAATTTTAAAAATATTCGCAAACAAGTCCAACCAATCTACCCGCATTACAATTAAAATATACTAAATTCTAAAATTGTAGAATAATATACCTGATTATAATAATCCAAATAGCCCCCAAAAAAAAAAAAAAAATCAAACAGGTTGAATAATTATTTGTTGGCCTTGCAAATTACCCACCACACCTAACCATTACAATCAATAAATTTTTACTTAAATTTCATTACAATTAAAATACTTCAATCTTTCTGTCTCACCATATTGATGGGAGTTTTTTTTTAATTTTTTTTGTAGTGATATCATGAATAAGCGTACAAGTATGACCTTTATTTTTTTCTGTGCATGGGCCTTTCTTTCAAAATATAAGTATTGGGTCTTTTTCTTTTCTTTTTGGGCCCTCCTTATTGAGCCTTCTTTTTATAAATATACATAGACCTTAACAATTGAGCCTTCTTCATTTGGGAGCCTTCACTACAAGAATTTACACATTTGGCGACCACTTTTGCCGACCAAAAAAATTTTGGTCGTAAAAAAATGACATTTGGCGACCAAATATTAATTAGTCGCGAATGATCATTATTTTAAAATTGATTTGTTTTGTTTAGTTAATGGGTCTGTGAATTATTTTTTTGTTTAGTTAACCATAAAAAATGGGTCTGTTTAATTAACCAGAAAATTGATTTGTTTTGTTTAGTTAATGGGTCTGTGAATTATTTTTTTGTTTAGTTAACCATAAAAAATGGGTCTGTTTAATTAACCAGAAAATTGATTTGTTTTGTTTAGTTAATGGGTCTGTGAATTATTTTTTTGTTTAGTTAACCATAAAAAATGGGTCTGTTTAATTAACCAGAAAATTGATTTGTTTTGTTTAGTTAATGGGTCTGTGAATTATTTTTTTGTTAAGTTAACCATAAAAAATGGGTCTGTTTAATTAACCAGAAAATTGATTTGTTTTGTTTAGTTAATGGGTCTGTGAATTATTTTTTTGTTAAGTTAACCATAAAAAATGGGTCTGTTTAATTAACCAGAAAATTGATTTGTTTTGTTTAGTTAATGGGTCTGTGAATTATTTTTTTGTTAAGTTAACCATAAAAAATGGGTCTGTTTAATTAACCAGAAAATTGATTTGTTTTGTTTAGTTAATGGGTCTGTGAATTATTTTTTTGTTAAGTTAACCATAAAAAATGGGTCTGTTTAATTAACCAGAAAATTGATTTGTTTTGTTTAGTTAATGGGTCTGTGAATTATTTTTTTGTTAAGTTAACCATAAAAAATGGGTCTGTTTAATTAACCAGAAAATTGATTTGTTTTGTTTAGTTAATGGGTCTGTGAATTATTTTTTTGTTAAGTTAACCATAAAAAATGGGTCTGTTTAATTAACCAGAAAATTGATTTGTTTTGTTTAGTTAATGGGTCTGTGAATTATTTTTTTGTTAAGTTAACCATAAAAAATGGGTCTGTTTAATTAACCAGAAAATTGATTTGTTTTGTTTAGTTAATGGGTCTGTGAATTATTTTTTTGTTAAGTTAACCATAAAAAATGGGTCTGTTTAATTAACCAGAAAATTGATTTGTTTTGTTTAGTTAATGGGTCTGTGAATTATTTTTTTGTTTAGTTAACCATAAAAAATGAATATGATAAGGCCTTGCATAAATACTGATAAGGGGTCTGTCAATTATTTTTTTGTTTAGTTAACCAGAAAATTGATTTGTTTTGTTTAGTTAATGGGTCTGTGAATTATTTTTTTGTTACGTTAACCATAAAAAATGGGCCTGTTTAATTAACCAGAAAATTGATTTGTTTTGTTTTGTTTAATTAATGGGTCTGTTTAGTTAATGGCTTGACTACTGTGTTTCTGTGTAATGTGGAAATGGTTAAAAAAATTAATTTCTTTAGTTAATTTGGGTCTGATTTGTTCTAAATTTATTCTGAAATTTGGGAATTTTGTGATTTGTTCTTGCTTGAAAGCTGCCCGTCGAAGCTCTGGTCCTTAAACTTTAATTGGTGTTTTATGTCGTTCTTGCTTATTTAACATTTGTTTGGTTGCCGAGAAACAGAGCAAAGGGATAATGATTGCATCTATTAGTGTTTTTTTACAAAAATGGAAAGCTCTCTGCTCTCATCTTCTCCTATCTTGATTTTATTTATTTGTTTATTTTATTTCAAATTACACTCTCACTAACCAAAAACAAGTTTTCTTTTTATTTCAAAAATGTTGTCAGGAGATTCTGCCAAGCTACTGGATATAGGGGTACTGTTCAGCGCCGTGAGGTGAGACTCAATCTCATGATTTCTGTCCAGAACTTTTTTTTTTTTTATCCCTCATAGATGGTATTTGAAGTCCTTAGTATGTTTTAGAGTGTTGAAGAAAAGATTGCTCGCCATGCTCAAGACGGAACACGTACCACCAGGTAGCAACTCTTCGTTGTCGATATTATCAATTAGTACAATGGTCAAAACCTTTTTCCACATGGTTTTGGTGATCTTTCTATGATCTTGCATTATCAATTCTGGTGTTTGGGCTTGATTCAATGAGATGTAGCATTTAACATTCCAATTGCAAAACCCAGTTCATTCTAAGACAAATTTGCTGTATATATGTGTTGTACGTTTTGTGCACATATACTGTTTGTAAAAATGCTTGTTAAACTCATTTGCATATTTTCCTTTCATGTACTGCTATCAACTACTAGTGCTCATGAGGAAACAAATTGGGTTTTTGAGACCCACCCATTTGCTAGCAATTATATATGTGTGTTATGTGTTGGGTAAACATATATTGTTTGTAAAAATGCTTGTTAAACTCATTTGCATATTTTCCTTTCATATACTGCTAGCAATTACTAGTGCTCATGAGGAAACAAATTGGGTTTTTGAGACCCACCCATTTGCTAGCAATTATATATGTGTGTTATGTGTTGGGTAAACATATATTGTTTGTAAAAATGCTTGTTAAACTCATTTGCATATTTTCCTTTCATGTACTGCTATCAACTACTAGTGCTCATGAGGAAACAAATTGGGTTTTTGAGACCCACCCATTTGCTAGCAATTATATATGTGTTATGTGTTGTTGGGTGCACATATATTGTTTATAAAAATGCTTGTTAAACTCATTTGCATATTTTCCTTTCATATACTGCTAGCAATTACTAGTGCTCATGAGGAAACAAATTGGGTTTTTCAAACCTACCCATTTGGTTGTTTATGGTTTGAATTTGTGTAACTAAGACTTGATTTCCTTCAGAGGAATTTGGTTCAAATGAAGGTGCTGCAAAAATGATGGCTTACAGTTTAAGAAACGAAGATCGACAGTTGATTACAACTCAGTGAAAGCTTTGGGAAGTGGGTTAAAAGCCACTTCTCAACTTTTAACCCACTTCCTCTCTCACAAAAAAAAGTCAAAAAGCCAGTTTTTAACCATCTTCCCAAAACACCCAATGTTTGTTGATTGGGGGGTTTTAGATCTTAGTCTTAGCTTTGCCCGTTAATGTGAAGAACAACCACAAATTAATAGAAATGAGTGCTTTTACACGTCCCTCTCAGTTTTTAACAACCTCATCTTCCTAGAAACCCTGTACTCTTCTAAACTCATCAGATTAAGTCACTTTAAGTTCTGCTTTGCTCAGACCAAGGTCTCTACATTGTGCGTCTTTTATATTCTTCTTCTTCACTATTCAACAAAAGGACTTGAGCCATTCGCATTAGGTTGATAATCCAATAGGAGACCTCACCAAATTGGCTGGTGGTTGATATCTCTTGTTCATTAGTGCTTGAAATTTAGTTTGTTTTCTTGATTCATCTTGATTGCAGACTTTGGAAATCTCGTGAAGTTGGAGTTTTAAAGAAACTGTGTTACTACTATATACATGATATATATCCATTGATCTAAACAAGACATAAATTAGTAAATAAATAAATAAATAAAACACTAAACAAGAAACAAAAACCATTTGACGATGTAGCTTGAAGTTGGCTGAGCTAATAAATATTTTAATGGTCCACAAAGAAAGCAATTTATTCCCTTATATCAATAGGATCCAATGACTATACATATATATGGTCCTCGAAACTTATCAATATATCCCTGATATCTACTAGGTGGTAAGTATACAACTTGCTAAACAACCATTTTTATCCTAAAATATGAATTCCGATATAATCCAATCTGCTACAAATTTCAAACCTTGGATGAATCCAAATACATATCCACAAGGGGCAATTTGACTCAATAGTATCTTCTACCTCATTTGAAAGTTCAAAGTTTTAATACAGTAGTAGGCATACATGAAGGCAAAGAACACTGCAAAACCAACCAAAACTCCAGCAACTGGTCCAATGAAGTTTGGTTCATACCCGAAATTATTTTTCACGTACCATTGGACAGTAGTGGAATTTTTCATCCCGGGAACTGTAATGGGGTCCGTCACATCACCATACTGTGACACAATTAATCCGTAAACTGTCCATGCTAGCTGGCAAATCCAGTAATACCATATCCACCACTTCGGAATTTTCTGAATTTTCAATACCAAAGGAAAAAAAATAATTAAACTATGTTAAAATGTTTTTTTTTTTAAATAAAAAAAAAACTGCTTCTGAGGAAAATGAAATTACCGGTCTAGGGATGAAGAAACCCAAGAAAAGATTGAAGAGTGCATAGAAAGTGGCTGCCAAAATAGATGCTACTTGGTGGTTTGGTGTGATGGAAACAGTCATCATTCCATAGTATGTGAAGTAGAGAAAAGAGATATAGTAGAGAAAAGAACCAAAAGAATTTATGCACTGCCCATTTGAAGCCCACCATAGAATACACTATAAGACTGAAAAAGATGGTTTGAACAAGCACGAATGGTAATTCAGTGATTACCTGCATATCAGATAACAATTAACTCTAAGATTAGGATTGAAAAAAATTGCAAAAATTGATCCATACCCAAGCTCAGGTAGCCATTTGATGTATAGTGCTCACGAACAAAATTTTCAATCTAATGTGAAGATTTAGCAATCTAATATCTAATTTAAAAGAAGTGAGCTCACAGATGCAAAGATAGAATGCAAGCTTCACGACCTGCATTTTCAATCTCTCATTTGATGTTAAATTTGAAAATTCTCACTTGTGCCATAGCATATGGTAATGCAGAATACATGCCGGCAGCTTTTTCTCTATAAAATACGGTTCTTTCAATAGCTACTACCGGTTGTACTGTCTGGCAGTTATTAATTCCAACAAACAGGACAGCAGCATACATTGCCCCTATGATCGTGGTCAAATCACCCGTGTTATCCCTGAATCAAATAAATTGTAGACAAGGAATTAGCAATGACTTTTGAGTCTTGTTACCAATGGACTGAGACATAGATTTGAATTTTGTAAGAATTAGATGCATACCTTTTTTTGCCAACCTGCCAGAAAATTGATCCAACCATAAGGGCCGCAGGCTAAGGTGAAGAACATCCTCACGAGGTTGTAATCTGGGCTTCTCCAATAAGTCAACCACAGCTTCCATAGGCAGTATTGGAATTGCCCCAAATTGGGCTGAGAAAATTGTGATGTGAAATAGAGGTCTTTTGTTCCCGGTGGAGGTACACTCAACTCTTTCACTAGAGCTTTGTTTCGTCTGTTCATACGCATGTATTAGTTTGAACCCTGTTGATTTTAAAACCAATAAAACACTTTTGTTGCTATAACTGAACTTTTAACTTACTGATGCAACGATGATGATTTGTAGTGTTCGGCAAAATCAATTCCAAGCCGGACTTCTGCAGCAACTGAGCTTGCTTCTAGCATTCATGTTGCTGGATTGTATTTTTCTTTAATTTTGGGAATTCCAGGAATTGCCTGAAACAAGTATAAATGGTTGAATTATTTGTATTTGTCTTTTTATATGTTAAAAAAAGAAAAGAAACAGTTCAAGAATGTGAAATACCTCAAAATATTCAATAATCTTACGAGAATTCCGTCCCAGTGGTCCTGAGTAGATCACTTGTCCTCCTCTTTTCATCAGTAGCAGCTGATGCACAATATAATATGGTGCATTTAGGGAGATAGATAATATATATGTACTTAGAGAGTGAGAAAGAGAGAGCGTGTGTTATTACCTCATCAAATGCTTCAAAGATATCAATACTAGGCGGATAGATTGTGCAAACAACAGTTTGCCCTGTATCCACTGTGTTTCTCACAGTTCTCATAACAATAGCTGCCGCTCTTGCATCAAGACTAGAAGTTGGTTCATCCATGAATATGATTGATGGATTAGCAACCAGCTCTACCGCTATTGTCAACCTCTTTCTCTGTTCTGTTGATAGACCTGTAACTCCTGGAAGCCCTACAATGGCATCTTTGAGATTGTCTAGTTCAACTAGATCCATCACTTCATCCACAAAAACCTAAAAAGGAAATACAGAAACAAACCATCTTAGTACTTGACCCTATAAGTCTTAAAATCTTTTCATAAAAAAGCAATATGAATGATAGTTGTTACCATCTTTTCCTCCTTGCTGACTTCCTTAGGGAGTCGAAGAAAAGCTGAGTAAATCAAAGATTCACGAATGGTGACTTGGGGTGAGTGGATGTCCATTTGCTGACAGTATCCAGAAATTCTAGCGAATGTTTCTTGAATCTTGGGGAATCCAGAAATTCTGATATCACCTTCAATGTAACCACCTGTTTTCCTCCCCGCTAGAACATCCATGAGTGTAGTTTTTCCAGCCCCACTGACCCCCATCAGTGCAGTCAAGACACCGGGCCTAAATGCAGCAGTTACTTCGCGAAGTAATTGGAGCCTGTCTTCGGTTACTCCTTGTTCCTTCATCTCCTATTGATATCAACACAATTTGTTGTTACTAAACAGATTTGAATTTGTGTTTCTAAACATTCATTTGACAACGATTTTCTTTAGTCACATTAGAACGCGACAAATGATTGTGTAGTAGTGGCATTTGAGCTAAACTAAGAGTGAAAGAGGAAAAAGGTATACTTACTGGTGGCATATCCACAAAGTATTTTACACTGTCAAAGGACGTGGTGAGGGGAGTGAAGGAAAGAACCATTCCTCTCTTGGGAGCAACTCCACGTGCAGTGTCAAGACTTGAATCTTCATTTCTGCTTAGTCCATTGGCATTGGATCAACTGCTCATTCTCCGGATTGCCATTTCTCCTGAAAATTATTCTCATGTAATGAACTCTGAAATTGCGATATATGTTAGTGATGTTGGATTGGTATTGGGTTACATGTCTAGGTTTCTTACTTGAATTGTTCCTGTCAGCAGCATATAAAGATCGAGGGACTGAATCTATCTTTGATCTGTTTGTTCTAAGTCTTTTCTTGACTATGTTAATCTCTACCTTCAATCTGCCTCCAAAGCCAGACCAGATGCCCTCCCAAGGTTTTCATTTCAATATTTATTGATTTATTTTACTTCTCATAATTTTGATGTAGTTCTATAAATAGGATGTATATAATGTACACTATATTGATGAAACTTCATGTTTAATTTTGATGGGTTGATGACTTTCCAGGTCAGCTTTGTAAATTCGATTGCGACAATTAAGGGTGGGACTCATGTTGATTATGTTACCAACCAGATTCCTTCTTTCTTAGTTGAGTTCATTACACCTATTGTGAAGGTATGTACTCCCTGTCCAATCTTACTTTCATTGCACCTTCTTTCATTACACCTATTGTGAAAATTGGCTTTGCATGTTTTTTGTCTGGGTTTGAAGCAATTGTGATTAGTGTGTTATGATAGAAAAAGAGGAGACTTTCACCTACCTCCTCTGTGGTTTGGCAATTAGGCAAAAAACCCCTAAGGTTTGAGAAACCTACAATTACCATGATGGAAAGCTAATGGACCAATGGCAAAATGGTAAAAATATATGAAATAAAAAGAGAATAGAAAAAATATATGGTCTACGGTTGACAATTTCTAGTTTATGGTGGCTTGTGATGTTACGTAGTTGATGGTTGACAATTTTCTAGTCTTTGGTGCATGTATGTTTGGTATCATATGGTATATTTATAAGGTGGTAAGTGTCTTCCTTTTTTCTTTTTTTTTTATAAAAATTGTTCTGTAACATTGAATAAGCATGTATGTCAAATATTACATCACAAAAATAAGAACAGAATTAGGAGAAATGAGAAATTTATATATGGTTGGTTTTGCCTCACATTTACAACAAAAAATATTCTCACCATTGGCCTTATAGGCCAAGTGGTACCTGGGTGTTCTCCCAATCTTGATGTTTCGGGGCTCGGATGCTCAAGTTTCTTTCCTGTCTTGATTAGCCTAGAAAATGGGTAGGATCCTATATTATTGATTATTTAGTTTATTAAAATTACAAAAAAATTATGATAGAAGGGGCCAGAAAAATGATGCATTTGGAAATATTTTTGGAGTTTTTTTGGAGTCATATCACCTCATTCAAGAGCTGCTGATATTCCTGATAAATGTCAAGTTGCAGGCCATTAGGAGTCCAATTTGTTATTGGTATTTAAAATTATCGTCTTCTTGCTTTGTGGTTTTTTGTGCCTTTATTTTTTTGTTGGTTGTACATTTGAATACCAATTTGAACCATTCTTTTTCAGTTTCATTCTGTTGATTTGTTACTGGCTTTGCTCATTTGCTGACTCTATAGATAACAATCTTTAATGTATTCACAGGCATAGTATTTGGTGTCTCATTTTTGCAAAAATGTCGTTTGGGGAAGCAATCTTGCAAGGAGTTACCTGACAGCTCTAAAGATGGTATCAACCTTGTTCTCACTATAATGCTTAGTAGTTTGTACATTGCGTTATTGATAAACCATATGAAATTTAGCCCATCTACTACATTTGTATGTTGAATTTAAGGTGATCTTCAAATCAAGCTAATAAAAATAAGTTAGAACTACTTGAAAATTTAAATGCACACAAATGTGACAGCACAGAAATCCACCCAAAATCCACACAAATGTGATTAGTCGGACTTTATCTTTTGTAAGGCTAGAACAATCTCTACAAATAATTAGTTTATTCATATGTTTCTAGTGGTGTCTGAATTAATTTGTGTTTTTATTTTTCAGGTTAGAAATTTCTTGGAGAGATGCAAAATATGGTCAAAGAATTCAAGGACTTAATTTTTCAAGTTTTTTTTTCATTTTTATTTTTTAATATATGTAAGCACAGTTTAAATTTTTTTATTTAATTCCTTTGTATATACTTTTGAACATATTTAACTTTCATTTATGAAATATATGATGTTATTTCATTGAATATGTGGTTATGATTTAAAGTATAGTATATAGTGTGTATTATATTCTTGAAATGCGCGTACAAAAATAATATTGATTATTCTTCAAATATGTCGAATCTTTTTAGTAATTAAGATTTAAATGAGTATGTCGACCACTTTTTCCTTCTTTTTTAATTTTTATTTTTAGCAAGTCTGAGACACATAAGCACTGAAGCCGAGCAATACAGATTTAAACTAGCTCACTGTAATACCTGTATATAAACCTAAATTGACCTTCTGGTAACTAGTTTTGAGCTAAACAAAGCAGCACAGATATACTGTTGTCAATACGTGGTGATGACAAGTACCTGGAATGCTTCAATTTACAGTAGCTCTGTTCCCTGCCTTCGTAATTTTTATTTATTTATTTATTTTTTAATCTGGGCAAGATGTGTTTGAATTTCATGGCACATTGTTTTTCACATAATTTGATTAATCCATGAAAGCCTTGCCCCCCAAATCCCTTATTTGATCATGAAGAAAGTTGAAGTATTTTTATTTCTTTTCAAATTGGAGTATTGTGACATTGTTTGATTGAGCAAACCAAATAGGATGTGCTGTGAATTGAACATTTGGGTTCATGCCTTGTCTTTCAGGAGGTAATGATGCTTCTCACTCAGGTGAAGCTACAGCCCGCAGAGGATCAAGTAGTTTTGCTCGCCCTGACGTTGTATTGTGTTGTATTGTTAATGAATGTGTTTGAATGTTAATGCTTCAATTTAGAGTTGTATTGTGTCGAATGTTAATGAATTATGTGTTGTGCCGAATGTTAATGATTCAGTTAATTTGAATGATGCTTTAAAATTATAGGTTTATTATGGATTTACAGGTGTATTGTTTTCCTGCTTTGGCGACCAATTTATTAGTCGTGACAAATAAATATTTTTTTTCGCAAAAAATGACAATTGCCGACCAAGAGTTTTGGTCGCAAAAAATACATCTATTGCCGACCAAAACAGCTCTTGGTCGTGGAAACTCACTTTTGCCGACCAAAAGTTTTGGTCGCGAAAAGTAACAAATGGCGACCAAAACCTTTTTTGGTCGTGGAATGTCACAACTGGCGACCAAACTTTTTGGTCGCGGAATGTCACGATTGGCGACCAAAATTTTTGGTCGCGGAATGTCACAATTGGCGACCAAAACTTTTTGGTCGTTGAATGTGATAATTGGCGACCAAACTTTTTGGTCGGGAAAATTTCACTTTTCGCGACCAAAGTGTTTTAGCGACTGAATGAATTAGTCGCGGTAATGATATATTTCGCGACCAAAAATTTGGTCGGCAAATTCGACTTTTCCCGACCAACCAAAATTTTGGTCGCGAATTACTTTTGCCGACCCTCAATTGGCGACCAAAGTAGCGACCAAAAAAATTGGTCGCGGATAACTTTTGCCGACCAAAAATGGGCTTTTAGCGACCAATTTTTTGGTCGGCAAAAGTGTTAATTCTTGTAGTGCTTAGGCAGTTTTCTTAAGGGCAAATTACTTACAAATCCTTTTTGAAAAGTGTGTATTTTATTTAATTTTAAAAACTTTTAAATAGACTTAAAAATCCTATACTCATTTATCTTCTCACATTTCCTTTCACCTTACTTTTTCTCTATATCTCTCTTTCTTTGATATCAGTCACGATCACGACCACACCTTCCCTTTTTTCTTTGGGTTTTTTACTGGCCGGTCCTACTGTTTATAGTTATTCCCTTCTTAGTCCTGAATATTGATGTTGTGCACCAATAGGTCCTGGAGTCTTTTTTTTGTACCTGTTTTATCCCTGCTTTGTTTTCCCCTGTTTTGGCGTGTTTCTATTTGATTTTTGCCATCAAAATACTATGATGTGAGTTTGGGTTTGGGTTTGGGTTTGGGTTTGTGATTTGGATTTCTGTGGAACTTCGCGATTTGTTAATGCATTATTGTGGAGTTCCATGATTTGTGATTTCACGCTTGGTGTATATTTGGATTTTACGATTTGCGATCTCATGGAGGGAGCTCGATTTGTGATTTGCTTTTTATAAATCTGTGAATCTTCGTGTTTTGTGATTTCGTGTTTGGTGTATAGTTAGATTTTGTGATTTGCGATTTTGTGGAGAGAGCTCGACTGGTATGTTTGATTTTGATTTCAATTTTGATGTTTTGGTATTTTTTAGTTTGAGTTTGTGATTTTGATTTTGTTTGTGATATTGTTGTTATTCTGTTGTTTCTGCAATTGAATTTGTATTTTGATCATGATATTGAAAGCTTTGAGATGTGTATATGTAATGAATATTAGATTTTTTTTTTTTTTTTTGGTTACGAAATTGTTTTGGTTGAACACAGGTGCTGGTTTGTGATTTTCTACAGTGATAATTTTATCACTAAGTAGTTTGAGGGTGTTGTCAGATTAACTTTTTCAACACTGATAAATTTATCAGTGAGTATAGGAATAGGAGATGAAAAAGCTGCATAATATAGTGGTAAAATTCAAATCGAGTTATCATGCCCAATAAGTGTAAGCCTTATTCACTGTCCATGCTCTTGGTCTTTGGTAGTGTTAATTGTTAAATTTATCACTGTTGGTTTTTGGATGTGTTTGAGTTGGTTGATAATTTTATCACTGTATAAGATTTTGTTTTAGGTTGTTTGAGTTGTTTGCTGAAATATAATTGTTGTTTGTTGCAAGATTTATAGTGATGGAAAATTCTTTGTTTCTTATGTGCAAGTTAGAGGTGTGACATTGGTTATCAAGTATAATGATGGGTTTAAATTCAAGGATTTAGTATATAAATTGTGTGCAAAGCGGAGTGAGTTAGTTGGTAGTTCTTTGAATATATCATATTCAATGCTTGGACATTCTTGTTATGGTCTACAAAGCGAAGATGATTTGGAGGTTATGGTTGGACTCGCACTTTCTTGTGATATTCATCGTATTAATGTTTTTGTTAAGTGTTGTTCTTTGGGTGAAGGTTATATGATTTGTGATAGTGAAGCTGGTAGTAGTAGTAGTGTTGTTTGTGAAACTGATTTTTTGCCTTCATTTTTTTCAAATCAGCGGAAACCTTTGCTCTCCGATAGATGGGTTAATTGTATAAAAGGAGTGGGTCAAAGGTTTGCTCAAAGAGTTGTTGAATTTCGAGATACGTTGTCAAAGTATTCTATTCATTCCGATTTTGATTTTGATTTTGTTAAGAATGACAAGGATCGTGTCACTATTCATTGAAGAGAAAGGTTGATTTGGGATGTTTATGGAGTGTGCATGCTAGAGTGGAAAATTCTAGTAAAGCTTTTGTTATTAAACAAGTTGATGATGTTCATACGTGTGGATCTTCTTTTCGTGCAATTAAACATACTAGGATGACTTCAAGTATGATTGGTGGGCTAATTTCAAGTGAGGTTCGTAATAAGGCTTTGACATCGGTTAGTGAGGTGGTTTGTGATTTCAAGGACTATTATGGAACAGAAGTTTCTTATCGGCGAGCTTAGATGGGTGTTGAAAAAAAAAGGGATGTTGTTTTGGTGACTATTCATCTTCATTTGACGATCTTCGTCGGTATATTGATGCCGCTATTGATTGTAATCCAGGGAGTGTTTTTGATATGGATTTTGATATTGATAGTAAATGAAGACATTTCAAATGCTTGTTTTTCGCTTTTGAGGCATGTATTCATGGTTTCAAGTATTGTCGGCCTATGTTGATGCTTGATGAAACTTTCTTAAAAGGAAGACACAAAGGTTTTTTATTGGCTGCTATTTGTTATTATTATTAAAACAGTGATAGTTTTATCATTTTTGTTACTGGAGAGTGTTGATTATTGAGTATGGTCAATCAATTAGTGATAAATTTATGCTGTATACTCTTGTATGTTGTATACTTTTGTTAAATTTTTATATTTATACAGTGATAAATTTATTATCCATTGATTTTATATGTTGTATGTTGCTATTGAATTGTTGTAGTAATACAGTGATAAAGTTATCTATGGTTGGTGCTATATGTTATATACTTTGCGTTTTACTTTTGTTTTGTAATCTTTTTTATTTGTTATGAATAATGTGTATATATTTTGTTTGTAGGTTTATAACCGTTATGTTTTGCCATTGTTGATAGTGAATGTTATGACAATTGGCATTGGTTCTTGCCAAAGTTATTTGTTATTTTGACTCCGGGAAGGGATATTGCGTTTGTTACTGATTGGCATGGAGGTTTGTTAAAAGCTTTAGCTGAGGTCTTTCCGTTTTCTTCTCATTCTTTTTGTCGAATGCATTTGAAGACAAACTTGAAGACTTATTTGTCAGTGAAGAGTTGCTAATCTAAAGAGTATTTGCTCACTCTTTTTAGTAGATGTGCATATGCTCTTACTATTGAGTTGTTTAATGAGCTATTTGAAGAATTTAAGGGTCGTTGTGGTTGTAGTGTTTAGAAGTTTCTTGAGGATTTGCCTAATGAGTGTCGGTGTAACGCTTCTTTTCAAGGCAAGAGGTATGGTGAAATGTACACAAATGCTGCGGAATCTTTTAATTCATAGATTAGGGATAAACGCCATTTGTTTTCAACTAATCTTGTTAATGCTATGCAGGTGAAACTAATGGAGCAATTTTCAAAAAGAAGAGAAGTTGGAAATAAGTGGAATTGTATTGTTTGTCATTTTGCAAAGAAAAAATTGGAAGAAGCTTTTAATGATACAAAGGAATGGATAGTTAAGAAATGTAGTGATGATATTCATGAAATCCAATTGGATCATTCAGTTATGGTTGATATTAGGAAACGATCTTGTTCTTGTTGATTGTTGGAAATTGATTCTTTTCCTTGCAAACATGGTTTTTGTGCTATAAAGAGGAGTGAGAAGGATCTGAATTGTTTTCTTGATGATTACTACCATGTTTGTAGTTATTGTGATTCTTATTCGCATTCTATCTATCCAGTTCCCAGTATGTGGAAGCCAAATGTAGTTCTTGATGATGACGTTGTTTTACCTTCTCTTTGTAAGAGACCAACTAGACGTCCAAGAACAGAAAGAATACATTCGAAGGGCGAGAGCAAGAGAATTAGGTGCAGTAAGTGTGGAAAGATGGGAACTCATAATCGGAAGACATGTAAAGAAGCTTTGCTTTAGTTGTATTGATTTTAATTGAATTACTTTTGTTGAGAGCTGAGAGGTGTTACTTGCATTGAATGTTTGAGTATTTTTTGAAAGATACATCATTTCGGTAGTTGCATTGGATGATTGAGGAATTTTTTGAACGGAAATTATATTTTTTGTTGATATTTTTACAAGATTAAGTTTCGCACATTTATATTCTTTGATTTTGGTTAAATGTAGTTGTTGTTTTTGGTGTTTTATACAGTGGTAAATTTATCCCTGGTTGGTTTGAATGAGTTGGTGGGTTATGTTTTTTTAAGAGTGATAAATTTACCATTGTTTGAAGGAAACAATCAAGCATTAATGGGGTTGCTGAATTTTGTTATTTTTAAGAATGATAAATATATAACTGACTGTATGGAAAGAGTTGATGGTTTATTACATTTATGTCAGTGGTTGATAAATTTATCACTGTCATATCCAATCAAATGTTCTTTTTTATAGTGATAAATTTATCAATGGCTTAAACTCAAGAAAAATCAATTGTAGGTAATTTGGGACTAAGTTTCCCAATCTGTGCTACATTACTGCCACTATGCAATTAACTATCAGTGGGATCCTTAAAGCAAAATATTTCGGGTTTGCAATTCATTTTCAGACAATTTATCATTAGGTTTTGAATAAGATCATATTTCTTCATAAATAACTGGTTCTTGGAGTTAAATGTTAAAATGTATGTACGATTTTTTTTGT